AGAAAGGCAGTTAACAACACGGATGAACTGACCTGCACTCCCCATTCCCTGTCTTCCTGCGCCGCCGGGGGGGAGGTTGTGCCAGGAACGAAAGGAAACGGGGTGGGGAGGTGTTGTTTTAAGATCTGGCCTTGTTTTCTCTTTTCTCCTCTCAAGTAACCGGTTTCGTTCCCTTGTGTCTCCTGTTTAGTAACTGTTAATAAATTGTTTTGTTTTATGAAGAAAGCCTGAGTCATGTTTTGCCCGGGACCATGGTTGGTGGGTGCTCCCTTTCGGTTCTTGTCTCGACCCTCAGTCTAAAAAAACCATGACAATCATTTTTCCAGGACAAATTTAAACACTGGGCAACAGCAGGTGAGAGAGTGTAAAATGGACAGACACACACACAGTGCTAATTCATCCACAGTTTCCAGTAATTTTTTATGTCAAGAATTTCTTGGATTGACGTCGGTCTCTGAGTAAATCCAATCTTTCGAGTTTGTCTAAGCCATGCTTGAACTGGCATAAACTTTTTGCATCCACAACATCTTGCAGCAAGGAGCTGCACAGCTTACCTATATGCAACATAAAGAAATACCTCTTTTTGTTTGCTCTGAATCTACTTCATTGAATTTGAATATTGGAAGGGAGAGTAAATTTTTGCTCACTGGTTTACTTTTATTATTTTTCATGGTGTTAATTATTATTACCTCTTACATGCTACAGCTCACACAAAAATCAGCAAAAAATCAGCAAAAATCACTGTTCATACCTGGGATAATCTACTTAAATATGGACTGAAAGCTCATCTTAGAAGGAACTGAAAATCCTATTATTATTCTGATGAAAAATATTTTCTTCTGTAAAGTGAAAGTTAGAATTCTACAAGTAGAAAAAAAGCTTTGAAAATTCTTACTTTTGAACTGAAACAAAATTTCCAACAAAATCTGAAGCAAAGCACAATTAAAAATTTGAAATGTCATACTGAGATTAAGTGGTTTGTTTAATTATTTTCTGATTATGTCACTAGCAAAAATACAGCCTTCTGTTCACAAGAAAATAACATTAATTTGTATGTCTGGTTTATGGAGACAGGGACTATCAACCTTTGTGCAATCAAAAGCTTCTGTCATGACTGAGGCAAAAGAAATATTTCTGATCCACAAAGGAAAGAGAAAGAAGAAACGCTGAGCATGGAAAATCTCAGGTTCTTCTGCAAGAATCCCAGGACATCCTGGATTGCATGGCAAAAACTTGCATATTTGACTAGGAACTGTGGGAAATCATAAAAGGATTATTTTATATTTGGACAAGAAATGCAACATATTTTAAGTGACATTATCTGAGCTTTCTGAGTCTGCAAAACTCTACTAAAAATGCCATAAGAGCAAGTAATTGCTTTCTCTCTTTTCACACGCTTCTTAACAGACTCTTCTGTTTCACTTACTGGCCCAAATTCATAAGAACCACCTATGTCTGTCAAATTTTTCTGGTGCCTCTGTAAAGTCTGAAGGCTGCTCTGTGCTTGTCCTGGCATAGTTCAGAACCACACAGATTACATGAGGTTTTTAAATATAGAAGATGTCTAGGGATATCAGCATCCAGTAAGAACAGCTGCAATTCAGCAGCTGGAGCCCATCCTACTAAAGGGGTACAGTAGCCTAACGTGATGGCTCCTCACCATGCCTCATATGCAGCATTTCAGAAAATCAGCAGCCTAACTTGACTAGATGTGGCAAAACATCCTACAGAAATTTGACCAATTGTAATTAAAATTTGGTTAGTTTGCTCCTTTGCTCTATGTTTTTGAGGCAACTGTGAATTTCCTTCTTTCTAATATGCCTTTCACTTGTCCTCGCTCCACTAGAATTCCCGTCCCCGATGTTGATCCCTCTCTTCTTAGACCCCAACTTTGCTTTGTCTTCTGAGCATACTGTATATGAGCTCAACTGAGACTTTGCAATAAACCTCACTAAGAAGAAACTGAAAAAATTTACACTGTCCAAGGAGAAATGGCAGGCATAGCACTGGATTCACTGACTGGTCCTTGCTTTCCTTCTACCAGGGTTGAAGGTTTGTGAAGTAGCAAAAGGTTCTGAGCTAATTTTAACCTAGGAACCCAACACTGGTAGGTCAGCCACTTTAAACTGCTCCCATACCAGTGGAGAGCCTTTGGTACCTCAGGATTAAGATTCTAGTTAAGCTGAACTCTAAATAGAGATACTCATCTCTCTCCACTCACTCAATACAGAAGGAGCCTAAACGGGCTTGATCCTAACTTAAACGCACAAAGACAAATGCATAAAGATAAATGAAGAAATCTGTGTCTAGCCCCATATCTTCTGCTGACTGCGACCGCGCTGGTGGAGAGGAACAAAGACGCCTTCCATTACCTCCTCCTAATAGAGAGTGGCCTGCAGCATGTACTTTCCTAAATGTGTCCCTGCCAGCTCAGGATAGCCCCATAGCTACATAAAGACTTGTTATTTGCAAACCATTTGAAGGAACTTTTCCAGAATTGTTAAATCAGTAACATAGTATTTCAGGGAAAGAGACAGCACTCCCAGCAATGCCAGAGAAGGTATCCACGTTTCCAAGGAACGGCTCTGTCTAAGCAAGCAGTGGTAGGGCACCCATGGAGGCACAGCTTTCAATACAGGAAAGCGTAAGCTAGAAGAGGGCTTAGGTGCAGGACCCATCCATGAGAAAGTCCACCAATGTTTTCCAAATTTTTAGAAAAAACTTTCTTAACAAAGTTGTGGAAGATTTGAGGGAGAAAAGAAAGACTTCTTAAAAAGGAACTGATAAAAAAGTTCTGTCCAGGCTCATAGAGCACAGAAAACTATTTAAATAGGAAGACAGCCTTTAAGCCACTATTGAGTTTGGGAAAAATATACCTCCTCACTCCGTGTTTGTGTTTACTGTTGCATTTAGGAAGCATCAACTACTTTAAAAAAACATATGCAAAGATTTTGCAAAAGATCAAGACCCAGATGACACAATGATTCAATTTTAGTATCCTGATAAAAGCTAAAACTTGATTACACTTGGGTTTGGGGGTAAGAGGAACTGCTTCCAACTTAAACAGAAAAACAAACAAACCCACAAGAAAACAAAACAGCAGCAAAAAAAACAAAGTGAAAAGCAGAGTAATTATACAGACTCCAATACGCATCCATATAGTCCAAAAGCCGCAGTCTCCAATATGCATCATATATTTAGAAAGATTCCTTTCCCAAATGCATTGCACACACATGCAATCTTGTATATATAAACACACACACCAGCCGTATTTTCTTCCCTACGTACTTTCAGCAAATGTATCAAAAGAGACAACCCTGCATACATTTTCTTCAGGTATACACTTATGCAGAAAAGCAACAGAGTCCTAGCATATTATATTAAAGCTCACATTGCACATGCAAGATCAGTCCCATCAAGTACTTCAAGAAAACTGAAAACAATCTCCCCCAACAAAGCTCCAAAACAAAACCTCCTGATAACATTGCCAAATCATAGCTGCTTCTCACTGCATTACCAAGAAACACATCTGCAACCTTGGACTTTCTCTCTGACAGATTTCAAACTTCTGCCATCTACTAACTACTGACATGCTTGAACTGTTAAAAAATGTAATTTATTTTTTTTTAATAATGGGAAAAGTATTTTTCACCCCTCATTTCCAAAAACAGCTGGAGCAGTTTGGCATAAATGTTTAAAAAATATCTCAACTAGTAAAGGACTGCCAAATTCCAGCAGGAAAGGTAAAACAACTGGGAAAAAGGACAAGCCACTGAAAATCTTTTCTTAAAATGGAAACACTTGTGCAATTTCAGCTCCCCATTACAAGCATTATTATGTCCTCTGAAAGTGAAAAACACAAAAGCTGTCTTTCAAGTGGACAGTTGGGCTATGGTCTGAAGGCCTCTTGATTTCAAACTTACTTAGGGAAAATCAAAGGAGTTTATCTTAACGAAGACAGAGCTTAAAGGCATCAGGTTCTGCTTTAGTGTAAAGACTTTCCCATATCCTGCAATTTTTAACACAAGCATTTTACAAATGACTATGAACAACTTGTATTTCGCACAAGCTTTAAAACTTTTACTGATCCCAGTTTTTCTTTAGTCTATTTTCTGTTAGAATCTGTGCAAGATGTGCCACAGGCTCAGGATTAAGGAATAATAAAAAAAAAATCAACGACTACACCGAAAAAAAAAATCCAATTCAACCCCCTTTCAACTTACAAAAACGTGCCTCATAGGGATCATAAAATCCATGTAATTACCTGCTGCAGGATCTGTAACCGCTTGACTGGTGATGCCAGATGGTGGTTCTTGAAGCTGGTATGTTGCATTTGTGGAGGGTGTCGTTGGGCTGGTGTTGCTGTTTGTCATGTAATGTGAAGGATACGGTGAGCTATTATAATACTGTGCATATTGGCCCTGGCCAAAACCGGGGTAAGAGGGATATTCCTGCAAGACAAAAAAGCAACTGAATAGTCCGTCGAAGTTTTGCTACTTTTTAGTATAAATTCCAAAATATAACTACAAACACATGTCAGACTTTCAGCACGTATGCTTCCTGGACTGGATGCTGTAGGATCTAAAACTGTGAGACAGTAAAACAAAATCTAAATTGCACATAATTTAATGTGCCCCTCATATAAATAGTTTATTAGACACACTGCTGAAGATGTGTGAATAAGAACATCAACCCCAGACAATTAATTCTACTATTGAAAGACGACAAATTGAAGAAAAACATTTATAAACATTAGTTTAACTTGAAAGGGTGCTAATTTCTTTCAAAAAGCTATTTAAGGGCTATTTTTTTTCAGTGGAAGAGAATTCTGAGTTTGCCAAAGTTTCCTCAGCTCGTATTTACAAATTTACCTGCTGTGAACTATTAAATCCAGTAGAATTTGTGAGTGAATTATTTCCTGCATATATTCCTGATGATGTTGTAAAACTGCTGCCTGAAATGAAATGAAAAATTATGTGAATTACTAAAACACGGTATCGGAAAATAACTTCCATCATGCAATTATATTATAAGGATATGGCATATTTGTAATATTTCCCATATGTTGACCGATTTGGTTGTCATCAGCTCTATAACATGTTAATATATGGAAAGTGATAATTCATCGTTCCTACACCCTGTCTTTCATTATTGCAATAAAAAGAAATACTTGAAATTTAGACAGGAATTTGGAGCCACCTCAAGTCTGAATATTAGGCTATCCCACTCCTCCGAATATACCCGGTGCTGTGGAAGTAATGAGGGTTTCTTTTCTTTCAGTTTTTGTTGAACAATAACCACAAGCCTTGTTCTGAGAGATGCTGTATCCCCTCACCAAAGCCCACTGGCTCCATTTCTCCTACTGCCTTTGCGAACTGGGTCCTCTCCCCTCCCTCAGCCCCTCACAGGAACAGCAAAAGTCAGAAGTCCCCTCTCCAAACAGCTCAGCCCAACTGCAAAGCCATTAGGATTCACTAATCGATCATGGACAGCCTTGGGCTGCAAATCTTTTTCATTTTTGAGAGAGTCTACCAGGCATGACACAGGGAAAAAAAGTATCTCTCTGAGAAGGGAGACCCAAGACTGAATATCGCCCGAAGACTGAATTACTGCCTTCACCTCCCTCCTCCCCCTGTCATGAGCCACCAGAAATAGACAGATGGGGCTCTTGTTTAATACCTAACCTGAGAAGCCGTTCCACTAAAAGGGCAGTAACCCCCTTTCAGCTGTTTTGCCCTCGCTGGTTATAACCTGGGAGTGACACAGCCACCAGCTGAGACATATGGATGCACAGGGTGAAGCTACATAAGCCACCAGAAAGTCTGTAACGAGGCAACCTATTGAACCCATCCAGCGGGAGAGTAGCGGCTGGCCAGGAGCTCGGATGAAAGCGTGCGGGTTGTTTACAGCCTCCCCCGCCACCGAAACCTGCCTTAGCACAATGATATACCAAGACCTTGGGAGCAAAAGCTTGCAGGTGAGCGGAGGAGGCAAGGAGGGATGGGAATCAACAGGGAGCCAGGCACAGAGACGCGCTGATTCTCCGATGTACCCAACACAACTCTATTAACAACCAAACCCTACGCAGCGGTTACTCCTTGGGAAAAGCGACATTTCTCGCAACTCCTAACAGCGAGGAATGCAGGCAGGGCTGCACACTTAGCACAACCCCTAAAGGGGATTTGTGAGCTATTTACTTTTTTAAACAAACAAACAAAATAAACCCAATAGGTATCCCAGCTATAAGAAGTCAGAAGGAAAAATATTTAAACGCTTTGATTGCAAAAGTTACTAAAAACATATGCAAGTTAAGCCTCAAAGTAGATGTGAAGTATGTCCAACAGCAGTGGGAGTAAAAGATGAAGCTTAAACTTAATGTGTGATAATGACTGTAAACACTTCTCTTGTATTTGCTGTTGGTGCAAAAGCTCTGTGGATGTTGATAGATGCTACTAATCCTGTGAACTAAAATCAGATTACTTCAGCAGAAGAGTTGACATCCAAGTTTAGCAGATAGTACAGATAAACAGTACTAATGAGAAAAACATGTTGTTTTAAATTTAATTTAAAATTGGAAAACAGATGTTATTTTTTATTATAACAAACCCCAGAGCCAAAATACAGCTGAACAATATTTTAAATTGCAAAACTTTGAAATGCTATTTTATTTCTAAGAGTGCTTTGGCTGGAAGAATGTAAGTCACCGTGTCTCGTTTTATTTCTGTAGTTATTTTTGAGAGATGCAGTAATGAATTCAAACACAAGTTTTATGGGTGCATGGTTTGAACCACTCTGAAAAGATACAAAAAGGCCTCTCACAGTCATAAGAAGCAAAAAAAGACAAAAAAAAAAAGCGTTTTTTGATTTATACATTATCTTTCCACAGAAAGTTTGGCAAATAATTTGCAAGAGCAAACGAGAAAAGTAATTACATGCCAGCCAGCATCTCTCCTTCTCAGACAAAGACACACACATACGAACACACGGATCTCGCTCTTTCATCTCATGGTCAGCGCCGGCTCCTACGGAGGAGGGGTAGGGGTCTCCTAGACCGTAACAAACACGAAGCAGGTTTCTCAGAAATGGCTCTGTGGGCCACCCAGGACTACTGGCCTAAAGTTGTTTTTAAAATACTCCAATTCTGCCATTTGTTTTTTAAATAATCAGCCGTGGCACAGCATAGAGCTGCTGTTCCTGCCTTCACTCAGCAAACACAAAAATCAGAATCCCTACGAAACGTGTGAGATTTACGGTCCCGAGTCGGCCAGCTACGTAGCTTTAAAATGTGATAAAAGCTGTAAACTGTAGGTCAAAGGTCTATTTTGCAAAGAGTGTGGACCTACATTAAAGCTGGGAATCCCAGCCAGCGTCAGAAGACGGCCGGACCCTGCTGGGACCAGGGCGCGGGCTCCAGGCGTGGGGCTGGACCCCGCACCGCTGCGAGGCGCAGGATGTGGTCCTCCCTTGGGCATTTGTCACAGGAGTCCATTTGCTTTCCTAGCTCAGCTCTCCTTGCCATGGGCTATGTCTATCATCAGGGTACGGTGTCTGTGGCAGAAGTTTAGTGCAGCTCTCCTGGGAAAGCCTAAGACGGCCAGATGGGCTATTTAAACTCAAGGTTTCTTCCGTTTGCTTACAGTGTTTAAAAATCCTTGGCAAACTCCTCTTTGTTGTCCTAGTAACTGCTTAGCCATCCAGCACAATATTTTTATACTGTATAATAATAACTGAATACCTTAACGTTTACTTTTTTATGGATGAATTCCCAAACCAACCAGTTAGTATATTCTCAAACACCACAGTCTTGGTAACTAAAACACTGCCGGTGCTCATCACAGGTCTAGTAGCTTTCCAGCAGTAGGATACTCGGGGTGCAGGGTAAAAGCAATGCTTTTATTCACTATCAAAGGATACTCAAGAAGACAGTTGCAAATGGATCTCTTTCCTTGGCGTTTCCCCCAGCCCTTCCCCACTCCATTTATCCTCACTGAGCAATCCTTGTAACTCTGCCAATATAGGAACGACAGCCCATTCCCACAGCCATTAGTCATGCAAGTGGTCTTTCAACGTCTATGAAGCAACTTATATGAAAAACAGCTTAAGGAACATACTCATTAAAGTAAGGGCGGGGGGGGGGGGAGACAGGGCAGCAGAACTGCCTAGGTCCTCTTCCCACCCTTTCCCCTCCACACCTCCCATTCTAGGGATGACAAATTTGCAACGAACAAAAATCCAATTACCAGAATAACCTTAGCAAGGAGTCACAGGCAGCGATTTTCCCCCTCATTTTCAAAAGTTGGCAGTCTCTCCCTCCGCTATTGTTCGGTGACTAATCACGCTGTAATTTTAGCAGGGTCAGGAAAAGCACTGGGTTTAATTGGCTGCACACGCACCGCAAAGCAGCGCCTTACATTGCAGGGAGACATTCACCCCAGGGAGAGGAACCAGAATAACTCCAAAGCTTTTGAGCACGAGGGAACCCCAATCAGGGAGCACGAGCATGGCAACTGCAAGGCCGCTCAGAAATCCCCTTTACTGCAGGCTAGAACGCCAGCAGGACCCCAAGCACGCTGTCACGTAACGCTTGGTTGTGAAGTAGGTTGTGGGATCCATTATCTCCATTTCTCAGCTCAGCAGCCACACACAGGAGATGAAGAGCAGCTATTGCCTGCTATGACAAGGTTGAGGTTGCAGCCTGCCCATATACTGCTAGAGGGGAAAGGAAGAATAAACTCATTTGCCTCTCTGGAGGTTTCTGCACAAACAACTGAACAGCAGCAGCAGCAGAGTACCCCCGTCTTCTGTCAAGAAAATCAATTTTGTCCTTATATAATAGTTGAAATTATGAATAGGTTCACCTTCCAAAATTAAACATGGGAAGGGAAACAAATGTTCCTGTTTACTTTTAACATGTGTTCAATCAAAATGAAGAATTAAGTCAATTTAATGTTTCAAATTCAAAAGTTAGCCTAATAAAAACATTAAAAAGATACATATTCTCAAGTATAGTATAGATATATATTCTCAACATTGAACTGCAGGAAAGATCTGTTCAGCATTGTGATTTTTTTCTACTTAGCCTCTAATAACTCCAACAATATTTTCATTTGAAATGTTATCCTTATTTCCATTCTTATGGTTTCTAAGGTTTCTGTAGGAGACCAGTCCTTCCTCATCCACACGCCAGGCTGTTCATGAGCACAATGGAAACGCTGTGCACACAATGAGAATTCTCAGACTCTGCCCTGTGCCTCTGAAGCCCAAGCCAAGCTGTCAGCAATCTGCTGCCTTCCACGGGTGGGCAGCTCTCAGCCCAAGCCTGAGCAGAACCCAGATCAGACTCCCTCGTCCCTCAGCCCTGCAGATAATACTATTGTGAAATCAATGCCTTTGAGCCTTCTCTCGTTAGAGCTTCACAACTGGGTCATCTTCAACATATTTCTTCTGCTGAATATTTTTAGATCCTTGCCTTTCAATGTGTACAGCTGAAGTGCTTTCCAAGATCTTACTGTTCTATCTCTTGACAACTGCCACCCTTTCATGACCTTGACAGTTCTGATCTTATACACATTTTGCATATTGCAGAAAACAAAGTAATATCCTTTATGACAGACCTCTATGTAGTCCATTGAACAAGTCCTAGCTTTGCTCTACTAATGCCAGCATTCACTGCTCACTCTTAAAATTTTCCAACAAGCACTCTCTCACATTATCCCATGCCGCTCCCCCTTTCCTCCCTCCATCGAATGAGTTTCCCATAGACATCTGCAAAACTACTTCATTGTCCTCCCTAAAATCCCTTTTTATTGGCATTCCTCTGCTCTGTATCTTACAAAAAAACCCACCTCTAGAGTTGTTAGATAACCATTGTGGGGTGATGACGGTTTATTATGCCTAAACAGCATCAGCTTTATTGATATATTAGATCCTCCTAGCCTGCGTGATGTATTTTAGCCTCCAACTTCTATGTGGACTATATTTTCATTTGGCTGTATGAGTTAGCACAATAGGATCCCAATATATAATTGTGGCACGAAGGCACTACTGCAACAGAAATTATAGGCAACACAGACATGATTTTTCACTATTTCCTAGCGACCATGAATGATCAGTTCCTTAAAAGCTGGACTGTTGATCCAGGAGTTCCTCATAGCTGCTGCTGGCAAGCATTTTGAGCTCTCTGCTACAGAGAGGTAGGGTTTTTTTTCAGGGGGCGTATGTGTGTTTGGTTTTTTTTTAGAGTGGCTATCTGAAGAAAGCAAAACAAATAACCTGGTTATGGTTATATTTACTCCAATGAGTAGATCACCACTATTCAGCATGTAGATGAAAGTTTGCATACTACCGTTACACTAGCTTCCTCTTACTTGTCAGAGCACACTACAAGTAAGTAACGCTTCAGATGTCAGATGGTCACTCCTGCCCTACGGAGCTACTCAACACACAGTTCAAAAGGGGATTTAAAAAAAAACAACAAACAACAAAAAAGGTCTCTCTTGTGTCTGAGTGAAGGACTGGATCAATATACCCTTAAAGCTGTGGAACAAAAGCAAAACCTCATTCATTTGGTTTCTGAAAGCACTTCTGTCTCAAGGCATCTCATGGAGCGTTTACATGATGGTGCACAGTTTAAATGGAGCTTGATAATAATAAAGAGAGGTGCTAACTTCTTCAAAATGGGGTCCGATCCTGTGAGCAATCACTTATTTTAACAGCTCTAAAATCTGCAACACTCCTGATTTCGACTGTCAAATTCAGGAGTGAAAAGTCCTGCAGCAGACATTCAAAATTAGCTATTTGTAGTAAACAAAGATTTTTTCAAATATCCTTTAAAGTAGTGAAAATTGAGAACCAGGAACATCCAGTGACTTCCCGATACAGAAGGGGAAAAAGGAATTGGGATGACAAGGTGGAAAGATAAACTAAACAGGCAAGTAAGGCTACAAAATATAATTGATAATAATAGCCTGCACACACAAAGACTTACAGCTTTTAAATAGAGTTCAAAGAAACAGACTTCAATCATTACTTAGCTACCTCCACAGCTGCAGTAGGTATTTTTATCTTCTTCTCCCTCCCCAAACACATTCAGGTGTCAAATTATATTTGGCACTTCCTAAATTCATAATCCTGACACGTTTTCCAGGACTCGCTTTGTCACATTCACTATTTGGTAAACTATTGCTATTCGGAGATACGTTTTTACTGTAGTAACACTACAACACTTCACTATTTAAAAATTCATGAAGTCACTAAGCGAGAGATCCTCCAAACTGCTGAGAGCTGGCCTGTCGCTGCTCTCAGCAAAAGCAATCATCATTTCAGCTCCAACTGCAATAACATCAGAGGTAAGTGCTCGAGCAAACAGTCATTTTTATCGTAGGAATGTAAGAAATCAAGGGGGAAAAACATAGAATTAACTGTATCTAATTAATGGAAATATCTGTTCATACAGACCTTGCATCTGGTAGCTATAGGGAGCCTGTCCAGGTTGAGGTGTGCTAAAGCTGGCACCGTAGCTTAGAAATCCTGTCTGTCCAGGTGATTGTGACTGTGCCAATCCACCTTCTGTCTTGATGCCTGCCCACAATGCACCTAAATCAGTTAGTGACAGCAGATCTATTTGTTCATATTCAAACAGGGATGGAAAACAAAACCACTTAATTAACAGAACTTTTAGCATTCACCTACTATTGCATGCATGAAAGAACGAATACCGAGCGCATGCACAAAACGAACGGGGTAAAAGGACACATAAAACTGAAGTTCACTAGGGAGAGGTTAAATTCAAAACTGTGTTTCCAATAACTGCAAAAGAAATTTATACATGAACAGGAAGTTGCATTATTCCTTTTTTCCCTTCCTGCCAGAGACTAACTTTTCCATATACTCACGACATTTCACAGAGGTAGATTAGCAACTTTATATGATTTTAATGAAGCATAGCATAGCCAAGCTCTCCTGCCATCCACCCATTAATGACATAACTGAGATTTGCATTGTATGATATTCCTACATGAAAATTACATGGCTCCAAGTGCAAAGGCTTTCTAAGGAATTAGAAGTGGATAAAGAGAACTAGCAGCATTAAGTGTAACGATGATTTTCAGAGGTAATTAAACACTATAGGAGGCATTCAGTCTTTCAACAAATAAACACCTAATAGACAGGAACTATTCCAGAAGCAATCTCCCAAACTGGGAAAAACATAGCAGAGAGTCATTAATCTGCACTGACAGGGAAATCCATTACACATCGCATTACCCTCTCCTTTGCAAATTTAGTAATAAAAGAATCCAAAGTCCAATTAAATCAATGACTTGCCTCCCAACTTCAGTGAGTCCTCCCCCAATTTGTAAGGCAACAAGCAAGTAAATATGAGCAAGTGAAACACTGAGGAAATGCACACAATTCAGCCTCTGTCTCTTAGTTTTAATTATAAGGTTGTCCCAACATGAACTACCATTTAAAAATAATTATAGCCAAAGCAATGGAAAAGTAATACAATACTCTTAGGTTTCACTGTGGCATTCAGTGATACCTCATTGTTCAGAAACCATCGTTATTTGAACTGAATTAACTAAGTGTGAATTAGTAACATTCCTTTGAAAATGACTGTTAATCTAAGTCCATTTCCTGGTTGGATTTTTTTTTTTTTTTAAACAACATTCAACAACGTTTGAAGGTAGGAGAGGGCTGAGAATTAGCTGTATTTACAAAACTTCAATATCTCCCTATATACAAACGGCAGCATATTTTCTTCTGCCATTCAAATCATTATTTTTCAACGGCTGTTATTAATTACCCTTAATTCCTTCTGCCAGACCTGCTAACTGCCAGACTGACCCCGTTTGCTTGTTTTTCCCTGATGCTTACTTGCTGCTTCTGTTTCATGTTACAATTAAACAATCCCAATGATGAATCTGACACCTCGTTTCCAAGGGGAAACTCCTGCTATGGATGTTTTGGTATCAACGATCCCTATTTGTTGCCTGTTTAAGGACTTCTGAAATGCTGATTAAATATTGCTTAGAGAAAGTTTAACTAACTCAGGCATTACATTTCCAGTTCAGCTTTAACAGCCTGATTCAACTCTCCATCTCAGACAAAGCGGGAGGAGATGATCAAAGGCAGCGGCAGGAGGATGCCACTCAAGTGAAGACAACTCGGCACTGACGTGCCCTTTTGCAAACCTCCATGCTATGAAGAGCCTTTCATCTCCCGGGACCCACTCTTCCCACCTACTCTCATCCAGAAGGCCTTCACTCACCAAATCTTGATGCTCCCTTCTCCTTCTCCCCAATCTAACGTATGCAAGGAAGTGGGAAGGGACAGTGAGAAAACATAAGGGGACTGCCAATATCTGGAAAGAAAAGTGGTTGGTAAGTGAAGCCTTTGCTAGTTGCTGGTATTGGAACAGGCAGGAGGAGGGAGCTTCAGGAAATTCTCCAGCCTCCTCAGGGGCTTTGCAGATGAACCAAAGCCAGGAGCCCCTGGGAGGCAGCTGTCAGTGGCATTCCCCTCCACCCCCCTTCCTGCCTGCTCGGCTGCACCATGGTGGAGCTGGGGGAGTGGAAAAATAAAGAGGAAGAGGCTAGAGGTGCATTCAAGACAGCATCTTCCCAAACACTGTCCTAGAGAGAAAGTGTGAAGGACGTTGATACATGAATTCATGAACACTTTTTCTTCCAGTAAGCCTCAGAGTAAAGAAACAAAAAGAAGCCCCCGACTCCAACTCAGAGTTTTTCCTTTCACATACATCCTAAGTCTCCTCTCTTTGTACCTGCTGGAAGGTCTCAGCCTGGAAAAGAGAAAGGCAAGTCAGCTGGTATATGGGGGTCTAAGCTGCAGATCCAAGAGGAATATTTCAGCTCTAAACAAGGCTTCTGTTCCTACCTGTTGCACATGAGCATCCCAGAGTTCCCCATGTAATTTATTTTGGGAACATGGGCTATATGATGTGCCTTAAACATGTAAAAGTATATATGGTGTTAGGTGGCTATTTGCTTTTAAATATTACTGCTATAAAGTACATCTACAAGGAACACCTTAGCCTCAGTCACAAGGCATTGTCTGAAAAGAACAAAACGTGTCAAAATCCACTTGGGTCAGGAGCCAGGGGGTTCAGTGGTCAAAAGCAGCTCTGCAATGTAAAACCTTAGGCAAAATTATCCGAAGCCCTAAGCACTGGGGATGGTCTGGATAAAAAACCAATCCAAAACAAAAGAGCAGGCAGGCATGTTAACCCCTGGAGAGCCGTTGCCATGTAAAGCAACTCTCAATTATAGCTCTGACAACAGCGAGACAACTAAACTCCAGTAGTGAAATCAAGGCCTTGCTGATGTCAGTGGGAGTTTTATAGTTGACTTCAGTGAGGTCAGGATTTCATCCAGGGGAATCAAGCAAAAAACCAAAAAAGTCACTGTCTGGGCTGCCCAAGCCACCACAGCCAGCCAAGCCTGAACACGAGGTGTCCGCAGGAGAAACAAGTCAGGAAAAGCACAGTGGGGAAAAGGATTGTCTGTTATCACACCACCTGATCCAGCTGGAAATAGCCGATGAGCTCTCATCAGCAACACGAGCTTGTGGTGGTGGGGGGTGGGGAAGAATCCCCATCTCCTTAGTCTTGAAAATGTAGTTTAAATGTCCTTAATGTGTATGGTTTGTGTAAGTTAAAATACATGGATTCCAACTGCAACTGAAACATCCAATTCACAGCCACATTAGTCACTTACAGCCACATTTATAACAAAATTTTGGCTGTAAGTAATTAAGGATGTAGCCACAGGACGAATGCTTCCTTGAATCATAATTATTAATGATATATTAATGAAGTAAAGTAAAATGTAAAGGGAAATTATAATCTGTTTCTTGTACCCGTTGCCCAGAGTAGGATACGCTTGAGACCCAGTGGATTTCAACTTGCAGATTTCAGAACGAAAGACATGCAGTTTTGCACTTAAAAGTCTTAATGATTTTAAGGGGCATGGCTTGTACTGTGAGTTCTGTCCTTTTGGTATAAAACTTACATTACCCGAATGTGTCTTTACAAAATATACTGCTAAAAGAATGTGGATTGTATATTTTCAATATATTCCCCCAGAGGAATATAAGACCTATTTTCTAATAATGCATCTTCACTGCTGAACTGCTATGCGGTCTGCCAGCAGACAGTCTGGCAGCAAAATGGTCTCACCCGCAGCAGCTTGTTTTTAAATTAAATTTTTTTGGAAATACTTGCTACTTAGTACTATCTCCTTCATCAGGCAGAGAGAGTTTTATTGGCAATTTACCTCAATTTTCACCTCCAGGGAGTTTCAAAACATTGAAAAGTGAGATTTTTATTTTTTGGTAGAGGTCTTTTTGAATTAGTTCTTCACCTGCCGAAAATCAGCGCAGCTTCACTGATTCACTTGGGTTCCAGCGATCTGGAAATCAGCTGAAATTCAGACCTTCATGTACCGACTTTTCCTACTGCATTGCTGGAGAGCAGAGCTCCTCGGCAAGCCACCAGGAGCTATGCCTGTGTAATGGAGGTCCCTAGATCTCTTTCTCCATTTCAGTGCTGTTTTTTTATATCACCAGTAAAAAATTAACGCATCTCTCTCCTTGATCCCAAAACAGAGTCATCCCCTTGAACAGCTTCTTAGGTCTTTAGCACACAAATTATGCATCACTCACTCCAATGGGGAAACGATCAGTCTTTCTTTCACAAGAAATGGTCAAGAGCACAGCTGTGCCACTAAGCACTGACACAAGGGTCACGAAATCTGGTTCTAAAAGATATTTACCTCTTGAACGAAATAGCAAGGACTTGATTTCTTACCATATGAAGGGATTCCATAGGGTTGGCCGGGCTGGGGGTAGGCGGCGTAAGCTGTAGCTTGTTGCATTCCCGTTGTAAACTGTGTCTGCCCGTACGCAGCCATCGTTTGTGAAGAGGGGGTAGGAAGAATATGTGGGTATGGTCTGCTATTGATTACAAATGACAGAAAATAGGACAGGCTGCATTAGACTGACATGCGTGTACTTATTTTTAGCCTTATTATAATCCTACTATTTCATTAACACATAATCATAGGCTGTGCTAGACAACAGAAACTGTAAGACGAAGACAAAATAACAATAAGAAATCAATAATAAAAGAATAAGTAAAATAAGAACTTTCCAAATATTTTTCAAATACATTCTTGGCATTTTAAAAAAATCATTTTTTTTCCCTAGAAGCTGCTGCGGTTTACATTATGACTTAACAGATGGACCCAATTATTATTTTAAATGAGGTTAAAATCTGCCTATTTCAGTTATTATTATTACTACTACTATTATTATTTTTAAAAGATATCATACTTGGAAGGGTAAATCTGTGGTGGGGAGAACTGGTGTGTTTGTCTTGGGCTGAAACCACTGCTTCCAATTGCTGCACCAAGGAGAAAAGAAAGCACACAGAAGTGTAAATACACACACCAAAGATAAATATTATTTTTCCTAATAGAATTTCAGAGTATTAACAAGATTTTAATTAAATTCAAATATCACTGATACCTTAGCTAGAAAATAATATTTTATCAGGAACTATACAAGAATGCTTAACATTAAAATCTTGATTACAAATTTCAAATACTAAATTGCCCCTTTGTACAGCTCCTGAGCAATAGTTTATTCTTTGCTCACACACAGACAACATTTTCTATGCAAACAATCTATTTCCTAATGGAAACATTTCCCTTCATATTTTCAAAGGATTATTGATATCTCAAGTGCAACATTTTATTAACTTTTAGAATTTTTAAGACCTACATTTTATGAAGGAGCTTTATGCGTGCCTCGATTGAAAACATATGTCCAGTTTCAGAGCACGTGCCTCTTTTTAAAAAAAAATAATTCCATAACGCAGACAATGCACTATTATTATGTATATATTACGCTTCCTTCTCTTTCCCCCCATCTCATCTGCTTTCTAAAATGCTTCTAGACCTTCAAAACACTCAGTCTTGCATAAAAACGTCATGACCAATGTGCAAATGCTCTTAAGTGAAACACTTGAGCCTACACAGCTAAGTAATGAGCTTCTCCCCCACTGCTGGCACGGAGCTTCACGCCAACCCATCCCAATTATTTCGGTATTTTTGGGTGCTGCCGAGAGCGTGGCGGATGTGCCGGTGTGCTCCGCTCTGGGCGTTATTTTGGGGAGTCCTTCCCTCTCTGGTTACCGTTTGGGTGCCATTCCTTCTCTAGGTCCCGAGGTGGGTTTTGAAGCCTTTGCCAGGAAGGGGTCAGCTGCAGGTTATGAGACTACTGTAAAATCAGACAGCCAGAGAAACAACAGGCTCTACCGCTAAGTACTTGGAAATAAACAAGGCACGGATAATTACCCTTCGCCAGCTACCCCTTTCCTGGCCAACTACAGACAAAATCCATCATCTTTACACTCCTGGAGCGCTCAGGAAGCATGGAGGGAAGCAGGGAATCTCTTTCCGTGCCTTCCACACCTGACAGTTTTCTATGGCCCGTGAGGCTGCAGATACATCAAACGTTACGGTCCAACCCTTAGTCAGATCACCACAGATGGACGTAGCTACTATTAAACACATCACCTCTTCTTCTGTCAGAGATTTAAAGTTCTCTAGAAACCTTTCTTTTTTTTTGCCTTTCGAGTTTGATACTTTCATACTTAACAGCATGCATAGAAAATGGAGGCTGTGACAAGACTAGAAAAGGGTCGGCTACTTGGAGCCTGGCTGGTCGCGAGATGTCAAATTTTGCTACTCTGGAAATATAATCCCATGACATAGTATTAGATCCTGATTTTATTTGATTTGCACCATAAAAACGATGTGCTCGAAATACCACAGTTAATCTGTAGGTGTGCAAAACTGTGCAAACATCTTAGAACTTTCTCACAGTGTTTGTCTCCTTGTATGTTCGCAGCTAAGATGTGTTTGGCTTCCAGGAAGAAAAAAGAAACCTGACAAAATAATGCATAACTCAAGAATAATAAATTACAATTAATGAAGAAGACCTATCCCTCAATTACAACACTAATCGCAGAGGCAGGTACGTTTACTCACAGAAAACAAATGAGTAATTACTCTGGGGCAGAATGCTTCCTAGTGAGACTCCCACTGAAGACACCGATGGACATCAATAAGCCCGATGCTGTAATGCTCTTTACTCGGGGAAAACTCCTATTGACTTACATTGTCTGAGTAAGATGAACAGAAATAGGCATAAGCTGCAAAGCGCACAAGTCTTTTTAACAGCTGTGCACAGGTTTAGACCACGTGGGATAAGAAAATAGTAAATGAAAAAATGCTGGGCTTAAAACCTTTGTTTATTCCTTACCTGATCCTGAGAAATTGTCTAAAGACCCGTCTGTGGTAGTAGTAGTAGCAATCTCACTGCTGCTCATTGGTTCTGTTTTAACTATAGAAATATAAATAAAATATATTCTATATGCACCTAGTATTCTTGCACACGCATGCACACACACTCACTACAGCCACAAATTCAATAAAACAAAAATCTCCCAAAACTGTTTTAAATCATGGCTATCGATATTTTGCATTTTACGCATGTGTATACAAACAATGCAAAGTACTGGCAGCTATGATTTACGCATACATACAAAACGATCAAGAGGGTTATTTTTGTCCCCAGGGAATAAGAGCTACTGTAACAAACCAGAAGTCCCCATGCAACTCTCTGCACCTGTCCTGATTCCTCTTAATCCTGCAGACCCAACAATAAGGGTCCACATTTAGATCAGGTCACACAGACATTTACAAGCGTGAAAGACAGCAATTTGAAGACAAAAAAGGAAATAATTTTTAAATGGATTTCTCTGAGGGATGTTCAATTTTTTTTTCCATCCAAGTAACATTTCAGATGAAAAACAACAATTTCTAATGAATTAAAACACTTTCCTCATGGTAGATTTCTCCCCTCAAAATGAAAACCAACTTTATTCTCAGCAACCCTGAATAAACAAAGTGGGGGCAGTCCTCACCAGATACTTCAAAGAATGCTTTTACGTTTTATTCCCTCTGCACCTGCAACACAACATGGCTATCAGAGAGTGAAAAAGAATGAAAGTAAGAGAGATTCCCTCCTGGCTCATGCTGCTTCATAATTAATTATCAATTAATGACTTTTAATAAAGCCTCAAGTAAATACACAAATTTCCCTTTCTGTTACTCCAGCGCAATCTCAGTAACAACAGCCTTCCGATCCATGGAGCAAGGATGGGGCTGACCTGGCATGGATGCAAACAAGTACAGCACCTCCTCCCAGAGAGTCACTGGATCAGCACGGCCATCTCTCAAATCCATTTTTACATACCTCGCTTTTGGACTTACAGCACACCAACGGCAACTGAGGATGACGTTTCAGAAAGCAATGGAGCTGATCTTACTATCAACATCCCACCACTTTCACTCCTGTTGACACACAGAGTCATCGCATCCCATGCACCCGCACTGGTGCATACCTGACCTTTCAGCGAGGCAGTTCAGTTCAGTAACACTGCAGAAAGCCAATTCGAGAAAGCCAAGGTAGAACTGCACACCATTTGACACGAAAACCCTTAGTGTCATCTCTACGTAGGTGTGTGTGTATGCATGTATGTTTGTCTATACATATATGCTCAGGAATTGCAACCACCACTAGCAGAAACACTTTGGTACCAGGTTTGGAAAGGGCGAGGGAGAGGCACTTTCCCCTTTTGACAAAGGACCTTTCCTTGCCAATCTAAATTCTTATTTCTTCATGCCTAACGATTTCCTTCACCTGACCTCATCCACAGGATTTATATGCAATCTCTCAAGATTTTACTAATTGCCCACTATTTTCTTTTGATTCTCAGGCAAGATGTTTTGTCTACACAAGCTAGCTCGGGAGATCAATACTAGCTCCACACAAAACTGCTACATCTGCCTTTGCAAGCAGTGCAGCCCAGGAAGAAAATTTCATGGAGAGAAATGGCTATTGCAGGGGGTCCAGTAGCCACAGTTTAGGCATTTTTGGGGGGTTATTCATGTTAGGTTTAGTCTTGTCCCAAGGAGCAAGCACCTATCAGTAGCTGGAGAACATTAGCTACACTGCTGCAGAGCACCTTTATTGAAAGAAGTGAAGTTCAAGGGATCCCACAAAGTGAATTAATCTGTGGTAAGAAAGGATGGCCAAGAGGTTCACTTCAAGGGTACGCTCACAATCTCAACTACAACTGTAATACAAATGTGTTTCTTAAAACCACAGCATATAACATATCCAACATCCACTTCATAACTAAATACAAAAAGTCTAACAAACAGATGCAACAAAATATTTGTTGCAGTGTCTATCCCAAGTAACTTTCCAGAAACTGACAGATTTTTACAGTAAGTTCTACACACTTTGTTAATCTAGAAACCAAGAATTGTAGCATCTACATTATCTTCTGCTACTTCTTAGAAGTTTATCACAGCCACATATTACAATCAGACTAATACTTCCCTCATAGATTACTCCAGCTTTCCCAAAACTTCACAAGACTTCTGAGCTTAATTTCCCTAATGCAATTACACTTTTGGAAATAACAATGAAAGATGCTTTTCTCTATAACCGACAGCTGTGAGGGAGGAAAAGAAAGGAAGGTGAGACAGATCGATCTAACTTGGGGTACAGGGGGGAAGATTTCAGTACATGCTTTCTCCAAACTCTTCACCTCTTCCCCACTAGAGAAACAATTGTTTTATATTCCTTATAAAATAAGATATCATTGTTTGGATCACTGCAAACTAGTAGCCCAAGAACTATGCTGAGCCAGCTCACACAATATAGAGACCTGTAGCATCATTTGTTCCAGATAAAGATTTTTGGGATAATTTCTTTCTAAGTGGATGTAAAAGCCACTCTTGCCATTGGCTTAAAAGTCTACTTCACGTGCCTTTGCCACCTATCTGGATCTCAGATCCTTGTCAAAGATATGATTTTGAGAAAACTCTCATCAAAAAGAAATTTCTGTCTCTACAATCCATGAGCAATAATTCATACAATCATAGAATCATTTGGTTGGAAGAGACCCTCAGGATCATCGAGTACAACCATTCATCCTGCACTGTCAGGGTCCCTAAACCATGTTCCCCAAATTCAGTGCCACCATGTTTAGAACTGAACGCTGTTTACTAGACATTCTGCTTTTGAAGATGCAGGAAAAGATCTGTGAAATACACTGCAGTGCCTGCTTCATGGAAATGAATTCTAGTTGCTGACTGAGGTGCTCACAAATTTCTCATAACAACTGTTCCTTATATCTCCTCTCTCATCTGCTGTATTTCTTGAATGTACAAAAAACAGGATAAGAAATGCTCTTCACATTATTCCTGATCTGGAAACTCATTAGTAGTGTGATAATAAATAAGCCCTATCATGCCATCTTTGGGAACAACCATGACCTTAATGGACCTTTGCGCTGCTACTAGTTGGGAATTTAATAAAGATGGATAGGAGCTCAAAAGCCCTCCATTCCCTAAGCATTTTAATCAAAATGCCAGAAAATGACTCTGTGTTTCCTTCTATCTGAGCCTAAACACATTTCAAGAGGATGAAAGCTTGCTATGCAAGGAAATAAAGTGAACAGCCATGGTTTTACCAGTTGGAAATATTCACCACGCGGATTCTCACTGCAAAGGAAGGTGTCTCATTTGCCCAAGGCAAAACCTGATCTGCCACGGAGCATATTGCCCCCCACCCAGAATCACAGAGAAAGAGAGCTGTGAAGGGATTTCCTCAGGTTACAAGTCTGTTACTCTATCACAGTAGCACGTCAGTAATCCACGTCCATCATATGAGAGACATATGGAGCTGTCCAAGGAAGCAAAGCTTTGAACAGGCACGGATCTGGCCCTGCCATGTGCTCCTTAAGCACGCTCTGGATTTCAGCTCTCCACACTCTCCATGACAATTAACATTTCTGCAACATGTCCTAAGCTTTCACAGGATGGCACTGGGCAATCAGGGGGAATATTGCCACATCTACACAGAATGCGTTGCAAGCTTCCCAGTAACTGCCAACAGCGTGCTCAGCCGCGGCAAGGACCACAGAGAGCAAAACAGGAGATTTCCCGTTTCTGCTGCTCCACTGTCAAAACAGACCTTTACAGAGGTGCAGAATTATCAGACTCACATTATAGAGACACACTCTGATTTGTAATATGCTACTAAGTTTTAGTGTCAGCAATATCAGCCATGTAATAAAACAGATTATCAAGAAGAATTTCAAGGTGAAATCTAATGTGTTCCTAATCGCTGCAAAAATTTAACAGTTATTTAGAATTGCCGACATAGATTTGGTTTATATACCATGGAGCTTAAGCAGCTATGTCAACAGAGAGACATTTTTCCTCCTTATTTTTCTATTCTAGTCATTTATGAGATTCTAAAAAGAAGATTTAAAAAGTAACTATATTAGAAAACAACACAACAGAATGACAGAAAAAATAGGAGTAGTGGATAATAACCCACATGCTAACTCTGAGAAAAAAAGCACAAAAATTCTGAGATAGCATAACTGCTGATCTAACGTATCAATTGTCAAGATAGTTTTTCTGAAGGTTCTCAGAGATTGCAACTGCAATGTGCCCTGTTTTGTCAGCCATATTACAAAAGGTGATTAATAATGACTTACGTGGCAGTTTCTGAACTCCATCAGAAAAAGAACTTCAGATAAGAATCCACAAGCTCATGCTGTTCATGGGCCAAGTAACAAGTTTCTGAGTTCAAAGCTTGTCACACAGTCACTGGCATACACAGCAGTAAAGACTGCTATCAGGAATGAGATACTGGCTGTTTTAAATATGGATTTAGAGACTTAACATTTGGCCATTCCTAACACAAAAGTCATATGAATACATCATAAAGATTGCACCTTCAAGCATGCAAAAAGTAAGGTTTTTAAATATCTTTTTAAAACTACTTTGATTATCTAAAATACATATAAGGCTTGCTCTACTGAACTAGTCTTTGTTAACAATTAGGCCATATACATTAAACCAGAATAGAAATATTGTAAACACAGCTGACTCATTAAATAGGTTTTAACTTTGTAGTTTTAAGACTGAATTAATACTATACCATTATATTATTTGTATTATATGAATATGTAGGCAAAATGACATCATTCCTGGCTGACAGCTCTCTGTTCAAAGGGCACAAAGAGTCTCAACAAAATAAGTGAGGCTGTTAGTTTGTTTATAGACATATATATAAATACAATCTCTACCTCTATTTTGGTTTGTCACAGGTGACATCTTCAAATAATGTTAGCAGCTAAACACCAGGTAGATATCTTGATTAAGTATTTTATGTATCCATTGCTATTCATACACTATTTTGTTTGATACTATCCTCTTTCTCTACCCACTAGAAGCCCAAAGCTCACCTGAAAG